GGGTTATTCAGGGCAAACCAACTTCCTTGTGACTCAGAGCCAAGTTCAGGAACATAAACATCAAGTTTCAGGAACACAAACATCAAGTTCAGGAACATAAACATCAAGTTTCAGCTGCACATATAATTCCGCCAGCAACGAGTAAATTTCAGCAGAAGCTGAATGAGATTCATCAGACGCTGCAAACTGATGAACTTTCCTTTCCATTTCTATCCAACTGGACCCAGGACATCCCTTTTCAACTCCGAGTTCCTTCATGGTGGCTCGAATATCCGCAACTTCTCCCCATCGTTTTGCATCAGCACACATGTTCACCAAAAGGTTGAAATACCCGCTACTATTTGGCTCCAACACCATCAACCCCTCGACACAAACTTGAGCAATCTCCAAGTTTTTATGAAGCTTGCATCCACCTAACAATGCACCCCATATAACAGAGTTCGGTTCAAACTCCATGCTTCTTATCAACCCTAGTGCATTTTCAAGCAGGCCGGCTTTGCTCAACAGATCCACCATGCATCCATAGTGCTCAACTTCGGGACGGATGGAATAATCCTGGATCATGCTTGAAAATCTCCTGTGGCCTTCTTCTACAAGTCCTGCATGAGTGCAGGCACTTAAGACACTTACAAAAGTAACCCCATTTGGCTTGATCTCCTCTCTCTCCATCTTGCTGAACATTGCTAGTGCTTCTTTTGCATATCCGTGAACTGCGAGCCCTTCGATCGCTGCATTCCAGCAGAACAGGTTCTTATCCCGCAATTTAAAGAAAACCAAAAGAGACCTCTCCAATGTGCCACACTTAGCATACATATCAATCAGTGCAGATCCGATATAAACATCGAGATCAAATCTGTTCTCCATTGCGTAAAGATGTATCTCTTTTCCCAAGTCAAGAGCTCCGAGATGGGCACAAGCCGAAATAACAGTTGCCAAGGTCACTTCATCAGAGCCGATCCCATTTGTCCTCATGTCATCGAAAACTGCTAACGCTTCTCGAAATTTCTTGTTCTGAGAATAGCAATCAATCATAGTAGTCCATGATATTATATCCCTAGTTGGCATCTGATTAAACAACAACTCTGCAGACTCCACATCGCCTACTCTTGCGTAGCCATCAATCATTGTATTCCAAGTAGCTGCATTCCTCTCCGTCATCTCATCAAATAATATCCTCGCCGAACTCATATCCCCCACTCGAGAATGAGACGAAACCATTGTAGTCCATGCAAAAGCGTCTCTGTCAGGCATTTCATCAAACACCCTTCTGGATTCACTTATTCGGCGCAACTTCGAGTAAAAATCAATCAAAGCAGTCTGAACAAACACATGTGAGCCAAACCCATTTCTCCAAATGTGACAATGAACAGACTCTCCAACCCGCAATGCAGACAGAGAGGTGCAGGCCTTGATCAATGGCGAAAACGTATAACTGCTAGGCAAAACCATGTCCCTCAACATATTGATGTAACAATTCAAAGCCTGAAACGGGTGGTCGCAATGAACAAAGCCTCTGATCATCGCATTGTAGACGAAAACATTCGGATTTTCCATCTGGGTGAAGGCTAAAACTGCATAATCTAGGCGGGAAAAGGTCGAAAAGGCGGTGATGAGTTGGTTCGTAAAGAAAGAGTCTTGGATGGCATTGGTCTTGATCATTGAGGCACATAAACTTTCTAGCTCCGTTGGAGTCGAACATTTCTTTAATTTTTCAACTATGGATGGTGGGTTCTGAGGGTTTTGGGTTTTGGGCGGTTGGAGAAGACGTTTTGGGTTTGAAAAACAGTTAAAGTTCGTTGGGCATTTCATCCGCACAAGTTGTGGCGCCTCCTAGAAGTTTTGCAATTTTCTTCCACCTATTTGTTAGCAAATTTGTCGATGTGGTATATGTGTAATCTTACCCGAACGAGAATGGGTGACACATTGACACGGATACCGGGATTTTACATGTAATATCGATGCATTTATTCATATTTAACAAAATCATAACCATTCGATTAATATAATGAATTCAACTATTATGTACGTTAAGTGTGAATTTAACTATCGATTTCAGGAACTATTTATGATAAAAAAAAAAACTCTTAAATCTTGTGAAACCTATTTATGTGTCACATCACTATATAATAGAATTTTTGACAAAATTGTAACGGCATGACCACTTGATTTGAGACACCTATTTCTAGGACTACATTGCTTGATGTTTTATTTCAAGGACCATCTTGGTGTGGTCAATTTTAGGGATCATTTGTGATAAAAAAATAATAAAAAAAAGACTTGCGGGATCCATTTATGTCCCAAATCTGCCCATAACATAACTTTAATGCTATTGATCCTTTGTGTGTATATATACTTGAGGGATTTCTCAATAGGAGGGGATTGATATATATATATATATATATAAACAATAGTGTCAGTAGGGTAAATAGTTAGTTATTATAGGAGGAAAGATCAGTGGAACGCCATCATCTGTAGTAAAATGCCATCTGCAAGATTGAAATACAGTAAAACCTTTCTAAAGTTAAATACAATTGGGACCAGACCATTTACACTTTAGGGAGTTATTACTTAATAGAGGTGTAATTAATGAAAATTATTTATTGACTTATTTATTCGGAATGAATTGTATTTTCTAAAGAGGATACCTTGGACATCAAGTGTTTTATTTCTTGCATATTTGTTTACTTAATACAATTATAATTATGTGGAGGTGTATTTCTTTAAGATGAGACCAAGAAAAAGTACAACTTATTACAATATGGAGTTTATTCCAATACATAACTAAAATATTATTGATTGACTTATTTATCATTAATGAATGTTGTATTTTATAAATCGGATTTCTTGTGTGCCAAATATTCTATTTCTTGCTTATTTTTGGACTTGGATCCTCTCCTGAGCTCAAGGAGGGATCATCCTGACCAAAGAACTTGGACAGTTGGATTTTCATCCAACGGCTATAATTATTATAACTTTAGACGGACCTCCTGTTTGTAGCCGTTGAATTTTCATCAAACGGCTCAAGTCCTTTGGTCAGCATCCAACGGCTATAATTATTATAACTTTAAAGGGACATCTTGTTTGTAGCCGTTGAATTTTTATTTAACGGTTCAAGTTCTTTGGTCAGGAGGATCCTCTCATTGGGCTCAGGAGAGGATCCAAGTTCCTTATTTTTGTACTCATTGACAATATAATTATATAGAGATGTGTTTCCTTTAGATAGGACAAGAAAAATTATAACTTATTATAATATGAAGTTTATTCCAATTCGCAGGACGAGGCACTGCCCCTATCCCGCCTAAATTCATTTTGCATTATGGATGAAATACAACCTCATCTTTTCATTCCTAACCACCGTAAGCCGAGTTGACCCACCAAAAGTATATACCAAGTAAAAAAATTTATGACTTTAAAAGGTTTTTCATTATAGAATAATTTTTTAGTACAAAAATATATTTTATACCAAGGAAAGAGAGGAGTTCGGATAAATCATAAAATGAGCAACATAATTAAATACTGAATTCACTATCTACGATCTTCAAACCTAAAACCTCTCATTTACAAGTGAAGAGGAATACCATCAAACCGTAATATCATTATAGAATATTTCGTTGAATTCTCGTCTCAAAACATACCCACGCTTTGCCTTCCGTTGCCTTGGTTGACCTTTCAAATGTCTCTAAACTGTTAATGCGCCACTAATCATAGCAATCACATGAAATTCTTGCTCTTCATGGATAATTACCAAATTTACGATGACCAGAATCACTTGTCATCAGCCAATCAATTTTACTCTTTTACCCCTCCAGTTTTCCGGTTTATGTTAACACACAACCAGTTAATTAACGAGAAAAACTCATGATGCAATCTGAAAGTTGGCAATTCAGTAATTTCCAAATGAGAAAAAGGGTTTTAAAATTCAGCTTCTGGAGCTTGGAAATGTGAAAATGCTGAATTAGTTGAATCAAAAGCCTCACATTTTTACCAACCAAAGAGAGAGAAGCAGTACTAGTCACTTTTGATTTCCTATATAAACCCCACGACCCTCTCATTTTTTTCATCACCTTCTCACACATTCAAGTTTATATACTTTTCGTACATTACTGAAGGTGTAACAATGGCTTTGAGTTCTAACGCACAAGGTTTCATCCTCCTCCTTGCTGCTGCCTCTCTATTGGCAGTGAGCGAGGCCAGAACCGTCATCGTTGGAGGGTCCGAAGGCTGGCGTTTCGGGTTCAACTACACTGATTGGGCTCTCCAAAACAGCCCCTTTAACAAAAATGACCAATTAGGTTAGCACGTTCTAACGATTTATGTGCGTTAAAATCTTTTTGTATGACAACCATTCTTTCATTACAAATTTAGAGTAGTCAATAGCATATTGATACTGTATCGATAATGCATCGGTATGTTATATTTTGTTTGCAACAATAATATCAACATATTATCAATGCCATATCGAAATCAGTTTTTTAAGTAAAAGAGCAGATGTCATAGCTCGATTATTACGTGCATGCGTCAATTATTGTTGTTTATTTTGCAGTGTTCAAATATGATCCACCTAGCGAGGCAAATTCCGGCTACAGCGTATACCAACTGCCTAACCTGTGGAGCTACATAACCTGCGACTTCAGCAAAGCCAAGCTGCTGGCGAGTCAGACGGAGGGAGGTGGCGACGGCTTCAAGGTCGAGCTGACTCAGTGGAGGCCTTACTACTTTGCCAGCGGTGAAAAAGATGGCAAGAACTGCAAGGATGGTCTGATGAAGTTGTTTGCTGTCCCACTGCCACGTTGGAATAATTAAACACAGTTCGAAAACACACAAATAAAAACGTCCGGGAAGAAGAGACGCTATACAAAATACATTTATACACACATGCACCAGATTGATTATGTATTTTCAATAATTTTGGAGGGTTTTGAGTCTTATAGGGGGAAATGTGTCCGAATAATTCGTCTTGCTTCCGAACAGTTACTCTAAAAATAGCCATGTATTGCCTTCTTTTTTGTAGTGTCTTGATCCTGATTCAACAATATATTCATACTCGAAATTTCGGATGTAGAAGTACACGTTCTTAGTTGTATTGTCCTCTAATACAATGGAGAGAGGAAATGATCAGAAGATCATCCGTACCGAACTTCAGAAAAAAAGGAAAATTACAATATTACTACAAGAACCGAAAAGTGAAAAGAAACATAGCAACATAACCATAACACTTCCAAGGTTCGTGACATAACTAGCATAGTCTCAGAGAAACTCTGAAGTGAGGAAGCACAAAGTTACCATCCTTATCCCTTCGAACCTATAGTTTGTAACGTTTCACGTACTCTCCAAAAACGACTTCTTTGTAAATTGGTGGATTGTTTTCGGATATAAGCTCCTTTAACGGCCCGTATGGTTTTTGGAGGTCGTCTGTGCCAATGAAACATGCAATTGATGTAAGGGCATCGAGGGTCGGTGGAATTATTACTCTGTGCTCTGCACTCTTGAACTTGCCATTAGTAATGATCTGTACAGCAAATAAACATTTAGATGGACCTATTAGTACTCTATCACGCACACGGGCTATAAAAGAGAAGGAAAAGATAGCTATATTAGTTACAGTACCTGCAGCATATCAGATACATTGGCAAGCAAAGCTCCCTCCACTGGGTGAATGTCAATCCAAACATTTTGATGAAGTACCTGTAGGCCTTCACTAGCTCGTAAGAGCAAGGTGATGAAGCCGAGGTCAGAATGCTTGTGTCCGCCGAGAGTCAAATGGGGCTCTGGGCAAACTGGATAATAGTGGCATGCCAATGACCTCGATTCGAAGCACCTTAGGTTGTCAAGGTAATCGCTGCTTAGACCTAAAGATTCCGAAATTAATTTGGAAAGCTTATCCTTCACTTGAACAAGGTATTCATATACTCTTTTATTTCCGCCCTGCAAAATAAATAATTTAGTGTTTAAACAGCTTTCAGAGTTTGCTCAGATTTGAGTGATACAAGGAGATATAAGTTGGTGAACAGAAGTTAATATAATTGGTGAGTGTAGCATTACTTATTTACCTGCAGATTTCAGGGATTGCCTCGAAGTTATGCTCATCTTCTAGGACCTTGCAAGATAATGTGTCTCTCCAACAAGCTGGAAGAGACACCTTGAATTCTGCATTGCTAACGAAGTTGACCTTCTTCGTGAAATCGCGTGAATACCACACCTCCTTGGCTTCCTGGGGCTGCTCATGAAATCGTCGAATGCCCTTCAGCACATCATCCATCACACCAAGTGGAACTGAATGGTTCACAATCTGAAAGAAACCCCATTCCTCAGCTGCCTTTCTGAGGTCATTGATGATTTTGCTCCGCATTTCGCTGTCCTCGACATCTTCGAGATCAATGACAGGAACTTGGCGGTTGCTAATGCCATTGTTATGGTTAGGGGACGGTAGATCCTCTGGAGGGTGTTTGAACATTCTTGGGAGCTTGGTCACCCCCGAATCTACAAGGCCTTTCACACCAGCTTTTGTTTCGTCGAATTTTTTCATTTCTTCCTCCAGCTCATGATCCAACCCAGGCATCTTGAAGTAAATCTTTTTGATTAGTGAAAAGTTTAAGTGACAACTTTATTGATCCTAGCTTGGTTTTTGGAGTCCAAGTTTAAAGAGCGTAGTTTTCTACTTTATATAGAATTGAGAGAACGAAAGGAAATACTTTCTTTGTTTAATTTAGAAAAGATGGAGATCATGATCAAGAAATGTGGATAGAAAACTCACGAGTCTTATTGCACAAGCAAACGGCAATGAATTGTCTGATTAATCTGCAAAGATTCAAAAGAGACAAAGTGAAGCTAACATGACTAATGTTAATGAAATAGACAGAAGCGGCCATGTTTACTCTTTTCGTTGGTTCTGTTTGTGATGAGTGACAAAATGGGGAGGTTTCAGTCATCTTTTTATAAGAAAATAATGCCGTGGGGAAGTTGGTGTGAAAACATTGCCGACTGCTTTGGCAGATTATAGAGGTGTTTAGCTAGTTGTCTCATGCTAAATTATGTGGATATAATTATTAATATTCATCTTCCACTCATTTATAACATGTGGATTAGTAATATTATGCGGTGGTGTGATGGTTTCCAAAAAAAGAGATGATAGAAAATAAGTGAAACTCATAGAAGAAGACAATAGGCAGATGGGGTTGCGAGACCCAGGCGCATGCATTGGATCATTTCTTATATTCTAAAAAAAAAAACCACTCGTTTCAGTAGTCATACTAAAAACTTTCTTGATCAAATACTTATTTTACAAGTGAATTAGTAATACCATAGCGATGTGACCTGAAAACTTTTTGATTAATGAGGATTATTTTTCAATGGATTCCTCTTCAATTCAAGTACCTTAAATTAACTTAAAGTTTACAAGTATTGATGCAAGTTACTATTACAAATTGGTACGACCCCGCCGGTTGGTGCAGAAGCCATCGGAAACTTTATATCATTAGCCTCTGTGGTGGATTGTAGGTCAGATGGAGAGAGGAGAGCGTAGGGGAACAAACTCGGAGAGACAGGTTGTGTTAAAGTTATGTTTTCTTCGTTAAATTGATGACGTAGTGAGAGTAAAATCTGTAATTGAGTTGTCGTATGGAAGCCACATTTGTAGTCTAAAAACTCATCATTTTAATGAATTATTAGACGTTCAAATATAGAAAGGATAAAATTGATACAATTTCAATACCTTAAGAAGCAATTTGAAAAAATTAAAACCTCATGAACGATTTAAATCACCTCAAATTTTAAGGATGTAAAATGTAGGTAGTCTTAAACTTTTCTACCAAACGATGATACTTTTAAGCGGAGCAATGCCAAAACAACACCTAGAAGTAAGATATGGGCAACTTCATAAACCTTTTCCTATTGAACATAATCTTTACCCACCAATTGAAAAGACCTAAATAACACGTCCTTAAATCCCACTTGGAATTTAGCCCCGGTTATGATTTCATATAATTAACATAAAATTAAAAATGAGGGTTATGATTTTATATATGATTTTATACAAGACATTTGCCAATGCCTTCGAGATTTTGTATTGAATCTCTCTTCTATTAATTTAAAACAAAATTAGTCTTGATTATATCCAAAATTTAAAGGGTTAAAATTTGAAGACACACTCCGACATTCTTTGTGAGAAACATTTTGTTGGGTCCAAACATATTCATTTTTATAATTACGAATAAATGTCTTAATAATTTTAAATTTATCTATTTTTTTTTTGTCAAAAATAATCTATAAATGATTTAACCAACGGGAAGCAAACAGAGTCTCGATACCAATGTCGAAATCAAAGGCTTCGCAGCAATCCTGTCAAAATACAAGTGTCGAAGCATGTCGTGGATCCCAACTCAAATTTAAAGTTGGTCAAAACAACATATATTTATGTTGTCTTGGACTTGTCCAATTAAGAACACATCCGAAACATTTTTAGGTAATTGATTACATTTGAATTGCTTTTTCAAGTTCTTTGAGAAGTTGGAAGGATTGAGAATGATCAGATAGAGCTAATACATTGATGCCATCATTGCGGCAAATCAAACCAATAGGGAACACAAAGTTCAAATCATCACCTCATTCTCAATTCCTCCAATTTCCCTTCAATTCCTTCAAAATTCGGATCAAAATTCATACAAAACTACAAAAATTGTAAATTGAAAAAATAAAAAAAAACACAACAATTGATGAATAAAATCAAATAGCAGATTTAGGGTTTTGTGGGGGGAGAAAGATCAGATAGAGCTAATACATAGTTTCGCCATCATCACGGCGTTCAAACCAATAGGGATACGAAATCTAATCCTCATCTCAATTCTCCCCGACGCACAATTTCAAATCAAAAGCTACACAAAAATATTTCTAGGGTTCTAAGCAGAAGGAGAGATTAGGGTTTTCACCAGCATTAGCAGAACAAACGAAAATAAAGAAACAGAAGATTTCTAGGGTTTAAGCAGAAAGGAAGACCAGGGCTGTTCGGTAGCAGAGCGGCTCCCGCCACTGCTATCGCAGAGAATGAAATGGTGATGCCAGAGAAACCCTAAAGATTGGATATTTATGGTGAAAGCTTGGGCCTTTAGGGCAACATTTGGGTTAAGAGCCTGGAGTCTCTTTACGGGCCTGACCTTTTTTCTCAACCTGGCCCAACCCATATTGATTTACCCGGAAAAAACCTGAAACTACTCGAAGCTGGTTCAACCGACTTGCTCTTCTTCTTCCGTACATTGCTCCTCCGCGGCCACCGCCACAGCCATTGCCAACCGCCTTAAATCTCCGACCCGTCTCCCTCTCTATCTCTTTCTGTTAGTTATGGAATTCGCTAAGCGTTTCTCCAAGCGGCTCTTCCACAGCTTGTGTAAGCACTTTTAGCCCAAAAGCGCTTTTGCTTTGTTCTTTTATTCATTTCAACCTGCAAGATTGAATGTTTGCTTATATTTTATTTTGGATAACGAAATGTGTAGATTTTACGCAAAGCTGTGTGAAGAGGGAGGAATTTTACCAGCGGTTTGTATACAGCTACGTGAATCGGTTTCAATCGCAGCACTCGAAGGCAGAGAAAGGAGGAGAATCGGACACATCGAAAAAGCTGAAAGCTGTTGTTCCTCCGCAAGCTGCTGATGGCATTAGCAGCTATTCGAGTGAGGATGAAGGTTTGGTGGATGGTAAGGAGAAAAGGTTGGAGCTTGCTTGGCTGCCCAGAGTTCTCGAGCCAGCTCTTCAATTGTGCAGGTGGGCTCTGCCAACCCCAGCAGGTACCCGAGTTCAAATCCCTTTTCCGTAAATTAGAGTAGTTTAGAATATCGTTTTTGTTAAAAAAGATAAAAACTTGTCATGTTTGGGCAATTGGGTAGTCATTGTTTTGAATGAATTTGTAATTTGGAAGTTGCAGTATTAGCTGTGCATGAGAAAAATATTGTGTAATTTAAAAGATGCGGTTTGGCATGGTTGAAAAGAATCAAAATTTATCATTTGGAACTTGGGTAGTCATTGCTTTTGATTGAATTTGTTTAATTTGGAATCTTTCAGTTTGAGTTGTGAGTGAAGATTGTTCAGTTTCGAAAATTGCAGGAAATGGAGTGGGAAACAAAACCCCATCCACAACTCGATCAGTCTCAGAGATCATTGCAAACATCCAACGGAGTAAGATAGGAATTGAGGATTGGAGTTTGAGTGATCTCACCATTGGTTTGTTTCTTATTTATCTTCGTCAAGCTTCTGTAAATCCGTTTGAGGATGTTAATGGTGTTCAGGTCTCCTCAGATTCAATGGTAACACTAATTACATGACCTTTTTAATTCTGAAAATGCTTCTTTACTTTGTATAAACACATAATATTTTGTGGCAAGTTTGATTGTGGTAAAAATGTTGTTGTCATTAGTTATTTGGCATTTGCTTTGTGTTTTAGGTGCAAGATCTCATCTACCACTCTGAGTTAGCGAAAGGTTCTTATAAGGATAATACTGCAGCTCTTGCAAGGAACACCATGCTTCGTGAAAGCAATGTCTTGAAATTTGTCAAAGATTCCAGTGTCATGAGGCCTGGATATTATATAGGGATAGATCCTCGTAAAAAACTTGTGATTTTAGGAATCCGTGGTACTCATACTGTATATGACCTTATAACTGATGTTGTTTCTTCAAGCGATGATGAAGTCACGTTTGAGGGTTATTCAACCCATTTTGGCACTGCGGAAGCTGCTCGCTGGTTTCTTAGTCACGAGATGGGAAATATAAGGAAGTGCTTGGAGAAATATAAGGTGGTGAATCTTTTTACTCTCACTTTTCCTTGTTATTGTTTTTTTGGGTGATGTAATCTTGTTCGTGGGTTTTATGTTTTTTTCTCCCGACCATATTTTTTTGTCATTGTTGGTTGTAGTTGAGCCCAATTCATTAACAGGGATTTAAGTTAAGACTAGTTGGTCATTCTCTCGGAGGTTCTACAGCTGCTTTACTTGCAATAATGCTCCGTAAAATGTCAGTTAAGGAGCTGGGGTTCAACCCAGAGATTGTCTCTGCCGTGGGGTATGCAACGCCACCTTGTGTCTCCAAAGAACTTGCTGAAAGCTGCTCCAGTTATGTCACAACTGTTGTGATGCAGGTGGGAAGATGCATTTAATTATTCTCTACTTAGAAAAAGCATTTTCAATCTAATTATATCTACTCGTTGCAGTTATATTTCTTTGGTTTTATTTGTTATTTTGCCCTTCTTAAATTCTTACAAACTTAAGACGTCTTTTTATGCAGGATGATATTATACCTAGGCTAAGTCCAGCATCTCTAACGAGGTTGAGGAGTGAAATTCTTAAAACCGATTGGTAAGTAAATGTGCTTCTTCATAATTTCTTGTCACCTCTTTTTCAAGATATGTTGAGAAAAAATAAGCTCACTAGTCGTTTGAATTGAGACCGAATTGCGTCATATACCAAATGATTAAGAACTCAAAGAAGACGTTGAACTAGTTTTTGTCTATCAATTGCTTGCAATTGATACTTTCTACTTTCATGGTACTTTGCCTGCACTGTCTATTATCAGAAATTTCTAAGTTTCAAGAATTCAGAGAATCGGGATCTTGAACTTGCATATTGGGGTAAATGCTGCATGGAAATTTGGAAATCTATGGATTTTTGGTGATTCTAGAAATATAAGCCTTTCGATTCTTTTGGTAGAAAAGACTACGTATGTGCGCTTCTTTTGGTAAGGTCTATGCTATGCCTGTTTTACTGCTTGGAATTAAAATTATTGTGCACCTTTATTTGTTTGTGTCTATTTCTCTTGCTTGGATTGTTGTGGATAAGCTAAGAATTTGGCCATGAATAATTCTGGCACCAAATCGGATGAAAATTTGACAAATTTATGTTAACTGGGAAGCATCATTCATCAATTCATGGAAAATGGAAAGCGGAAAAGTTGCTTCTTTTGTGAGCATCAATTTGTTTGCACTAGTGGCAATTTAATGAAGGCTTTATCAAAATTTCACAGTTCATAATTATTTGTTTCTACGTTACGTTTTGCAGGATGAGTGTGATTGAGAAGGAAGATTGGAAAAGTGTCATAGATTTGGTTACAAATGCAAAGCAGGTTGTGTCTTCGGTGCAAGATGTTGCTCGGAAGCTTTCTGATTATGCAAAGTTTGGGAGCAGTAAACATTCTTCTGGTAATCCCACCCTGCTCTGTGCCTAGTGTGTCAATGCTAGTGTATTTTAGCTCAGTCAATTGTATCTTTATGCATTGCTGTGTCATGACATGCACTTTGTAACAAAAGTGCTATATATTTGTACTGTCATTGATAAATATTTATGCTGCAATTGTTGGGCATATGTGGATTTGATCTTCAAAACAATCTCAGGCTGCATTTTTCGCACCTTCAATTGTATAATTGTTGGCTTATCTGTATGTTGTGTGAATGATTTTCATCATATTGGAGTAAGGGGTGTGAATGCACTAGAAATTTCTTGTTCTTCTCTGCTTGATGGTGTTTGTTTTGTTGGGGAAGGATCAAATCTCAACAGTTGGGTCGTTATACCTCATCAATCGTTAATGAATAATTTAAGCTTTAACATGCTCGACACCACATGATCTTCCCTTCACCAAATTATCTTATGGTGTCTGAACAGATGGTCCCATCATAAAGAAAATTCCTACTCCTCCCGGGGTCCCTTTAAATGAAAGAGAAGTAACAGAAAATGCTGGTGCTATTAAAAGTGGAGGAGCTGCCTGTAAAGTGCCTGAGGAATTATTTGTACCAGGTACCGTCTACTGCCTAAAGAGGAATGTGGATGCTCGTACCAGCAGCGGCGGCAGCAGAAGGGAGTATTTTACACTTTGGAAGAGGCATCCGGGTGAGCATTTTCAGAGGATTGTGCTTTCAAGCAACATAATAACTGACCACAAGTGTGTGAGCCATTACTATGCATTAAGAGATGTTCTCAAAGGTTTGCCGGCCTCCGATGATGAAGACGAATTTTCTTAAATAATCAAAACAAACTGCTCTGAGTTTACCTCTGTAAAAACGTAGCTCGTATATAAGGTTGTTGTAACTTGAATTTTGCATTTAATAAAATTTAGCAATTTTGATTAACCAATGTTCATCCAGTGTCTTGCTACAATATTTGGTGTACAGAGTGATGATCTGCTACTTCTATGTGCTTATCAGTTTGGAATGGTTGCCAACAACTAGATTGAACAATAAGCAACCCCGTTGGGAGAAGAACGAACTTATAACTATGACGCAAGTGTGGAGTAAACTAACCCAATTAATTATTGTCATGTATTTTAACTTTCTCCACGTGACAGTGCTTGGTGGGTTTGATTTCTTCCAACAATGACGTCCCAATTGTTTCTTACATCTCCACCATAAGTCTGTGACATTCTAAACTAAAAATCCGATGTCATGTGAAAATATTAAAACACATGTCATCACGTTTGAAGGACCTCTTCTTTTACTTGCTGCTTAAAACATTTTTCTAGTTTTACAACTGCCAGGTTGATTGCAAATCCTAGCTGGCATGAGTAACCCTTTTTAATCCTTTGAGTGGTGGGATTTTTCCAACTTCTTATCTTCATTGTCTAATATTTGTCTTTACT